CACTCACTGTCAGACAGCACATAGGCAAGTCTATAGTATTATTTGTGTGGGATGAGTTGTCCATGGGGAAATCTCAGTAAATCTCACAGCCTTTACTCCAGAAAAGAGTAGAAAACATGTCAAAACATTTCATTTAGCCTGTATTCTGTTTATCCTAACTATCTGTCTAGCTGTCTTTAAGTGAATGCACTGTCATTAGCATCGTCATTAGCATGGAAATCACAGCCAACAGTGAGCGTCACATAAAATCAATTTTTATTCTGAGTTCAGTTGAACTTAACCTATGAGTATATATTAGCTTGATTTTAGCCACAAAGAGCACAAGTAAACACTAATTTGGTGTTTTTATACTTAAGAAACTCCTTTTCCACAGAATATGGTAGCATTTTACCAGTATGTCAGTTCAATCAGGATTAATACTACCTGGGGTTACTTCTGTGCCTCGATTTATAGGAGGTTAAGGGGGTGTAATCTTTATTGATGCAAGAACATGGATTTGTAAAAAGGCTGACATAGCACATTCAAATGGAACCTAAATATCTAAGAAACACCAGTAAAAATTACATTACACCACCTCGTCATGTAAAACTAATCCCAACCTGACACAGTTTGAAGCAAGTGTGTGATGATTCAGACAGGCGTGTTGCGTGATGCCAGTTGGAGCGTATATGCTTCCATTACTAGTGAACTACAAATAGCATTGAAGGCAAAACTAAAGAAGCAAACATGCCTTCGCAGATTGATTACGTTTGTTTTTTTGGACAAGCTACCAGTTCTAGTAACTGAAAGTGGTGTTATCTGCATAGCTGATGCCTTTCCAGTCTGAGGTCAATGACAAAGTATACACCCACAGACTCACAGACTGCTGACGGGGGGAGCATGTTTCTACATTTTGGGGAATCTCAAGGACCAGTGAATGAACTTTACTTTGTGAATTCCATTTCCCCTTCCACTCTGTCATTTGATGCGAACAAAGATTTCTTTTCATTTATTTCTTCGCTTCCTTCGCTTTCTTACACACCTAACTGGACTGTGCCATCATGCTGCATTTGTAAAATTGATTTCATCAGTTGACAGCCTTCCAGGAAAACAAATAGAATCAAATCAGCCTCAGATCCCGACGCAGTGAGGGATGTTAGCTTTGGCAGACTTGACGCTCAAAGTGCCTTTAATCTTCCTGTCGGCGCTATTAATCTGAAAAGTTTCCCTCGCCAGTGTGACCCGCAGCTTTTATGGAAGCGCTCGTGCCTAGCAGAGAGGATTGCTTGGCCTGATGGCCGCTCCACTCCGCTGATTGACGCTGGAGCTCTACTGCTCAGATTGATGGGCCCATGCCAGGCCTGATCCTGTTTGTCCACTGCTATTGACCCTTTCTCCACACTCTCCACTAATCATGGGTTATTACAGTTATTACATGTAAATATATAATCGTCTGCCCCGCCTTTCACTCACATAAATCAGCCGAGGGTTCCAGTCAGCCATTATGGTCAGTGCTTAATGAGCTAGGGCAGCCCACTCCTCTCTCAGAGCGTGCAGACCTATTAATTGAATCCAGAAGGTTTGTTTATTAGCGTCTTCCTTCCCTCCCTCCCCGGCCCCAACCCGCTGCTTAATGTGCAACCAGCCCATGAAATGCTGCTTTTTTAATAAGCCTGGGTTTGGAGGATGACTGCGGCCGCCACGCTCGAGTGCTTCCAGCAGGCTGGGAGCGACAAAAATTTGCATTTATATTGTGCCGCACGCGTGGCATGGAGGAAGCACAGCAGCCGCGTTGGTGTGGAGCAAAAAGGTAACGCGCATAGCCGACTTAATGATTTAATGAACAAAATGGAAGGATTTGCATTTATCGAGCACTCTGTGCTCTGGACCCATGATTTGTCCTTTTGTGAGATTTCTGTAGTTCACCTGGTCAGGTCTAAGGTGTCTGTCAATAGCCGTTCATCGCGACCTAGCAAATAACGCCTGTCTGTGTGAATTCTCTGTGCTATCCTGAGATGAGTCGCTTTCACGTTCATAAGCTTACTCGAGTACTTTCAGAAATCTGAAACTGTACTGCTCACACTAGACATTTATTACTTGTTGATATAGCAATGCAGATGCTACACAGTCAAGCACAGACAAAGCTTATTTACTGAACCAACTTTCATTTTGAGGGACCCCAAACAAAAAGTGCCTGATTCCCAAAATAAATCACTTCTTCGCTCATGTGATCTGGCTGTGATCATTTTCAGATATCAAACAAGCATTATTTTTTTGCCAGTGCTCTTTGAGCCTCCCTTCTGTTTCCTGGGTGCAGAACAGTTGTTTTTACCTTGATTGTTGTTTTTGTTGTTCCCACTTTGTCCTTTGAGAGTTTCCTCTTGTGCAGTTGTTGACTATTGCTAATCGCTGTTCCACGCTAGATCAAGCTGATTAACTGATAATTAAGCCCTTTGCAAGCTGGATCAGATGTGTTGGGGCAGTTGAAACCATGCAGTGCTGTATGTTGCCAGGAGGGGCAAATCGCAGACTAAGTCAATCACAGACTGGAAAACTGCAGACTGATAAATAGCATACTAGATCTTTCGCAGGATGAGCCAACCACAGACTGGGCAAATCACAGAATGAGTAAGTCGCAAACTAGGTAAATCGCAGACTGGGTAAATCACAGACTAGGTCAGTCACAGACTGGGCAAAATGCAGACTGATGAATAACAGACTAGATCATTTGCAGAATGGGCAAATCGCAGACTAGGTCAATCACAGACCGGGTAAATCACAGACTAGCACAGTCACAGTATGGGCAAATCGCAGAGTGGGTAAATGAGATTGGGTAAATCACAGACTGTGCAAATCATAGACTTGATAAACTGCAAACTGGGTAAGTGACAGACTGGGCAAATCACAGACTGACTAAATCATTGACTAGGTAAGTCACAGATCAGGCAAAACACAGACTAGGTTAATCACAGACTGAGCAAATCACTGACTAGGTTAGTCACAGATCAGGCAATCACAGGATAGGTTAATCACAGACTGGCCGAATCACAGACTGAGTAAATCACAGATTAGGTCAACCACGGACTGAACAAATCACAGATTGGGTAAATCACAGACAGACTAAATCACAGACTAGGACAATCACATTATGGGCAAGTCGCAGACCGTGTAAATTTCAGACAAGGTCAATCACAGACTGGGCAAATCGCAGAGTGGATAAATCAGATTGGGTAAATCACAGACTGTGTACATCATAGACTTGGTACACTGCAGGAGGGGCAAATTACAGACTGGGTAAATGACAGACTGGGCAAATGACAGATTGGGCAAATCACAGACTGACTAAATCACTGACTAGGTAAGTCACAGATGAATCACAGACTCGCTGAATCACTGACTGGGTTAGTCACCGATCAGGCAAATCACAGACTGGGTAAATCACAGGATATCTTAATCACAGACTAGGTCAGAGCAGATCACAGAATGAGCAAATTGCTGATTGGGTAAATCACAGACTAGATAGATGGGCAAAGCTCAGACTAGATAATTTGCAGTCTGGTCAATCCACACACTGGGCAGTAGATTGGACAAATTGCAGACTAAGTCAGTCATAGACTGGGCAAATCACAGACTGGGAAAATCACAGGCTGGGCAAATTGCAGAACTTGTTAATTCCACATTGGATGAATAAAATCTCTGAACGTCTCTCTTAAGGAGCGGTCATGATCTGGAGGCATTTGTTGCAGATCCATAAAATTTGTCTGAGACAGGAAAATCAAGGCTAAAATCATATATTGCATGCTTGGCCATAGAGTTTTGGCTTATTTGATGTGTGCAAACTCTTAAGTAAGCAGCCCTTTAGACTGTGGAGGGACAGGAGAGGTGGTGCGCTAGACTTGGATTAGTTGGAGCATAGCCACAGGGCAAATCAAATGTCAAAGATGCAGGAGCAGGCAGACGGGGCATAAGAGTGTTGCCATGGCGATGGGAAGGGCCAAAACGTCTCCTTGCCTCATTCAAATTGGTGCTCGAAGCATCTGAGTTGAACAGCTCAGATTTACCGGCGAAAATGAAAATCTTTCGACAGCTGGTTTCCGCCAAGCCAGCCACCAGCACGACGGAGCCATTTTCATGTGTGTCTTACAAGAGCATATCAGACACACCGTTTCTACCTTCACTTTCTCAAAGAGCATTATAACCAAAAAAAAAGTCATTTTCAAAAGCTTTTACATGGCTGGCTTCACTCAGCAAAGCCTGTTTATCTCCAAGGTGACAATGTTCCGCGATTTATGTAGTGTTCCCTGTAAATGACTTCACCCGCCCCCGCATACAAACTCGATACACTCTTTTATTAAGGCACTCGCTATAAAACAGGGTGCGCCATGTGTTTGCAGAGAGGTGGCAGAATGAAATATTGGCAGCTTCTTTCTTTTGATTCAGGATTGTTTAATAAATCTGTGCACACTTAGCCTAAATCAAACCCTCTCTCGCCAGTGTGAGCAAACAACATACATCATAAATTAGAAACAAACTTTGGAGAGGCTGCGTTAGTCATTAAAAGGTAATTCCACCCATTTTTAAAATTTTTGCATAATTCAATTGTTGAGATGTTAAGTCATTCAGAGTGGTATGCTGTGTGGGGGTTTATTGTAGAGCAACTTAGTGACTCTTTACAGTGGTGGTGATAGGAATCAGGGCTCGCAGTGTCTACAACACAAATATAGCCATTTTGTCCACTATCAAAAATGACCAGTTGTGACTACAAATGTCTTCTGAGTTTTATATGTAATGTTGAAGTGAAGTAGCTTTTAGAGGCATTAAACACTTCTGGTTTTGTCACCACTGTTTTGAACAATTCTGACTCTGAATGCCACACCAATCTTAATTACTTTGTTTACATCTTTAAAAAATGCAGAAATGTTGATAAATCAATGGAATTCCACATTGAGCTCCTCTTAAGCTTCCAGACTGTCAGCAGGGTGGGAAGGTATGGGATAATGGCTTACTCTGTGTCTTTACAGGAGAATCCCTACGTGATGCTAAAATCCAACTACCAGGACCTGGAGGGCAATGACCGCTATGAGGGCTTCTGCGTGGACATGCTGAAGGAGCTGGCCGACATCCTGAAGTTCAAGTACCGCATTAAGCTGGTGAGCGACGGCGTGTATGGAGTGTCTGGAACCAATGGAACCTGGACGGGCATGGTGGGAGAACTCATCGCCCGGGTGAGTGCACAATACATTTACACTGTGTTAGCATAAATGTGCTCAACATCCACTTTATTAGCAACACCTACCTTGTACTTTCCCTCTATGGACAATTTGTGAGCTCCATTTACGTTATTAGTCTACTATATGCACAATACACGATTACAAAATGTAGCCCATCTGTTGTCTTGCACAGTTTATCAGCTCTTCTCTACCCCATTTATCACCAGTCAGTTTCTGTTGACCAGATATTATTTAGACCATTCTCGCTATCTGTGAACACAGCTGTGCCTGATACTCTCATTCCAGTGCCAGGCACAGCTGCTTTTACGGTCACGACTAGGTTGACGGTGGTCCACCACTCTGAAACTGACCACAGAAGGGATGAAGGATGGCTAATACAAATTATACATGACAGATTTATTGTGTTTCTTATAAAGTGGCCAGTGAAGGTAGACTTTATCGAGTGACTGTGTAGGCAACCACAAGTAGTATAGATAACTACAGACCAGAGGTTCACCGATCATTAACTTTTATGGCTGATTCTAATTTAATTACATCTAAATAAGGCAGTGGGTTAGGAACTAATTCTGAAACTAGTGTGGGCTAGGTGAGCACATGCAACACACTCATATTAGTACTTTCTACTAGCCAAAGATGCAACGTTTGCTCATACAACACAGCGCAACGTCCAGGACATTAATATTCACACATAGGTTTCTGATCATTTGAAATTGAGTTCAATGATCAATATCTATATCTGCTGACTGAGCAAATAGATAAACACAGTACTTCAAACTTTATTTAAATAGGGCCTAAATAAAAGAGAAGAGTTCAGATCAGAGGGTTCGGGGTTGGGAGGGCCAATTGGCCCACAGTTTAAATTCTGCAAGTTTTCCATCACCCACTTTCATATTTCTAATAGAATCAAGTTGTCAGGTATACAAAATCAAAATAATAAATGAACTGACTGTTGATTACTTGTTTGGAGCAAAATGTGTCCATTGTGATCTTGGCCCTCTGGTATTTCAAAATTATGACGTGTCGAGTTTCTAGTCCATGTCTGAACAGCTGAAAAACACATTGTATCCAATTATTTTTTAAGGGGCTCATACACACCACAGATCATGTATGAATTCAGTTTAACAAGTCACTTTGCACTCTTGGATGTCCACTAAACAGGTGCCATTTTAGCATCAGTTAGCTGGAATCAAGTCTGCACTGTGGTGTGTGGCTTGCTAACTAAGATATTGTTAGCTTAGCCAAAATGCTACAGTCCCAAACAGCTTCAATTTCGGCTTTCTGTTACTCCAACACCAGTTACTCTTAGACATTACTTTCTATTAGTTTTTATTATCTACACTTGTTTCAGCAGAGTGCCAGTTAGTCATAATCAGTCCTGTACTTTGGTGTGTGGCACTGTTTGAGTTTAAGCTAGCGTTAAGCTAGCTGATTAAGCTATAGACACAAACATCACCGACCAGGTTTAATTTTTCCATTCTGCCTTATACCAGCCGGCTGCTTGAATTCACTCCCTCATATTTTAATCATTATCATCTAAACTTCTGTTGATGCTTTAAATACACTGCTAGAAAAACCAGCATAGACCAGCATAGCTGGTCACCAGCAAAACCAGAATATGTTGTGTTTTGGATGCTGGTATGTTGGTGTTTAACGACTAATTATTGTTTTTGCTTTGATTCTTTAACTTTGCCATATACTTAGTCGAAACCCCTAACCTAAGAGCGTGCAGGTAACATGTTTATCAGTATGTACAAACCTAAGGTGAATGAGTGTTACAGGAGGAAAACCAGCTTACCTCCACTATGCCAGGCCAGCCCAAGCGCTGTCCCTCGAGGACGGAGAGCACAAGCCTGTAGATTCTGTTCAGAAGTTTAAAAGTGGCAAGCTGGGACAAATTCCCCAACCCAGCAGAGGAGGATGCAGGTCGGCTTCCACCTTCAAGTTCAGCACCACCACGCTTTCCGTCATGCCAACTCTCTCCCACATGAATCGCTAATTCTGAGGCTTTTATTACTCCACAAAGTATCTGGAGGAAAGTTAGTGCCCCCCAAATGAACTGTGTAATTGACAGTGTACTGTCTAACTAACTAACTAAGTGCACCCTACCTATCCTAACACTGGTCAACCAGCATGACCGTGCAGGGTGACCAGCTAAACCAGCAATAGACGAGACAATGAGCAGAGCTCTTTTCATGCTAGCTAAGCTAATGCTAACCAGCTCCTGTTTCATAGTTAGCAGCACTGTTTAACATTTAGCAGTAGGTAGGTACATGGCTTGACAGTTTTTACTGGTGGCAAAATCGTGCACTGCGTTCACTTATTCAGTAACCATAAAAGTGAACCAAGCTTTTGATTATTTTCAGTTTTGAAATAACACAGGTTAGCACAAAAAAAGATGGCTTCAAGTTACTTACAATGCCCACATCACCAACCCCACCACCACCACCACCACCACCACCACCAATGCCAGCCCCTAGTAATAGTATTTATGATTAGGAAATGGTTTAAAGGATTGAAAAAAGTGAAGACTGATAAAACCAAACAGTGTTTTACCTGCAGTTGTGGGCATCAGATTCTTTGAAAGCCCAGTTCAAGCGAGTTCTATTACGTTATGAATTTGAACAAAGTAAGCATCTGAGGTCAAGTAAAGTGCTGCATTTCATCACTCTCTCTACTTTCATCCCTCTAACTTTCACAACAGTCTGCCAAATCAAGCGAGGTTACCGCAATTAAAGGCTGCTAACTGTCCTCATAGCAGGCCCTGATGAAGCAAGCGATAGGCGTGTTTACTCTTCTCTCTCGGACGCAGGTCGCTCGTCCTAATGAATTTCAATTAGCCCTCCCAGCCCTTAACAGACACACACAGATGTGTTTAAAAAGGCTCAGCTGAGCGTGAAGGGTATTAATCCTGTTCTGACACCCACTAACACTCACTTGACGGGACAGAAATTTCATATGCTGTAAATTTCATTCAGCGCCGAGCCGCTGCCCTTTTCAGCTGCTGTATTATTTATTTAAAAACAGTTATGGTGGGTTGGTGATTCATTCGACTTCTCTGCAGGGTGCCAGATAATCTTAACAGGATTTGTTTACCAATGAAAGGACATTGCGGCATTCTTGCATGTTCCGGGGACGGGGTCGTAAAGTGAAGTTTTTTGTAGTTCCCGCTCGTGGTTGGCAGCGGCGGAATGAGCTTTGAGAAGTTATCTGTCTTAATTCGGCAGGCTAATGGAGGGCAAAGCCATTAAGGAAATAAAGAAAGGAGTGCCTGCTCTTATTATTGTCTCAATTTGTTCCCTCAAAGTATGCTGTATGCAAGTGACCTTGAGGACGCCCACTGATTTTAATTCTATCCCGCATGTGCACCAAAGGACAGAGGTCAAAGGGAAAAGGTGAAGTGCTATGTTCAGCTACTCGCTCGCCCCAGTCAGATGGTGTAAATTTCTGAAGGGACATACTTCGTGTTGATGGCGACCTCCTAGTAACCATCCAAAGATGAAAGGCGGTACCATTTATATTGGGCTGGATCTTTAGTTCCCACACGGATACAGATGGCTCTCCTCTCTAGTCCCCCAGCTTAGCCTGCTTTCTTTTTCTGCTGTTTGGGGATTTCTTTGGCAGCCGCAGAGAAGGAGAATGTGCCTCAGAGGGAATCTGAAATGCCACATCGGGAACTTAAGTCCATGCATTATTCAGCAGTGATAGGGCTGACTTTGATTTTTTTTTTTTCTTCTTCTTCTTTCTTTTTGGGCATCAACCCATGATTGAGTCAAAGTTGTAAAAGCGTGGAGAGGTGAAGAAAGAGTAACGTGTTGCATTATTTAAAGGAGCGCTCTCCATCAATGTAATTCCCTTTGCTTTGAACACTGGCTTAGTCCACTAATCACTATTAATATACAACAGGAGGATGAATATTTTACTGGAGTTATTGTTTCTTATTTAATTTACTGTGCACAGGACTGGTTTGCATTTTTTGTCTTTCTTCTTTTTGTCCCCTTCCTTTCAGTAGGACTGTGTTTCTTGGTATGAAGCTCCATCTGACATACAGTGTTAATCAGCCAGAGAGAAACCTTCAGGCTAGAGTTACCTCAGTTAGAAGTCTAGGAGACTTTAAGGTCAGCTTTTTTCCTAAAGTGGAGTTATTCTGGACAAGACATATCAAGGCCCTCAGGGACAGAGAGCGTGTACAGAAAGATTTTTTTTTCCTCCTGTACCTCTGAATGTGGCTATAGCAAGACTGGACTCTGTATAGCGAAGCTAATGACTTAACAGGCTACATGACAGCGCAAGCTGAGAATGAGTCATTGCAGACTTTGAACAAGAATCGGGCTTTTACGCACCAAATGTGATGCGAATAAATGGCACAAAATTGTGAAATTTTATAAAAAGAGAAATTATGAACACTAGATGCAGTGATTTTTTTGCATGTTGTCAAAAGTCACCTTTTCATTCATGTGATTCAAAATGGCCATTAAGTACAAGTTACATTTTTCATCATTAGGAAAAAAACTGACATCTTGAAAAACTGCTCCCGAAAGGCTTGAGAGCTGTAATGAGGGCAAAGAGGGGCTACATTAAATACTAAATTTAATATTTAGTTGTTAAGGCTTCTTTGTAATGTTCTGTTAAGTATATAGCGTTGAGTTGTCTTCTCACAGTGGAAGGATGGACAGAAACAGATTTTTTCAGATCTGAAGCAACAGTGGACTGATTTTCTCCTCTCTCTCAAAGATGAAAGCTTTTAGTACTGTTTATCTGATGGGGTTTTGGTGGTCTACCAGGTCTTGTGTGGTTGTTAGGAGTCGTATTTACACTGTATCTTTTAATCATTTTTGGAACTCCAGTTTTTTCCATTTTTTTTCTTTGACTTTCCTCTTCCCTTTGAAAGTAGATTATTTTATATCTAATCTCATCAGAAATATCTCCTAATTGAAATGAATAACTTGTGCTTAAGGGCAGATATGAAAATAAATAAATGAGGTGTGTGACTTTTGTACAGTACTCTAGAAGAATGTCTTCCTCAAATGATGCAGATATCCTTTTTTGCTGATTTAGAGTACCATTTTGAAAAAGCAAAAGGTGTGAAGAGTTTCAGCAGCTTGTTGAGAAGCTGAAACTTTATAATGAGCTTTCAGCTGTCCGTAACCTAGTTTGAGTCATTTTTGCAGATGCTAGCCCCACACCTGACGAAGTAGAAGAACCTACAGGGAACCAGTAGAGCCAGAGTAGTGACGAGCCATGTTGCCATGCCAGCGCCGGGAACAACAGTGATTGGTTGAATGTGTCCATTTTACCTGCATAAGTTTGACAATATTGAATAGGCAAACAAATAAAATCCTTAAAAATACATACAGTACTGTGCAAAAGTCTAAAGCCGTGGTCACACTGGATGGTCACCTCACTATTTACTTCACCAGAGTGGAGCAAAAATCTGGCGAATATGTTCAGTCCTGATGTGATGTACTTTTAGAGGGAACAAATAGTTCAGTGAACGCCTAATTCTAGCTAGTAAACTAGTTAAATAACAAATGTGAGTGACAAGCGACATTATGTTGACTGAGTTGACCACGTTGATTACGTTTTTTAAAAACCTATCTTGGTTAGAAGAAGTTAGAAGTTAGTTAGAAGAGCACATTGAATTTAAACCTACACTATGTAAGTTTCAGGGATTTGGAGACCTCTCTGGTGGAAATGTGTAATTGCATGCAATGTGTAGAAGAACATTTACTAACACTGTGTTGAAAGAGAATTCAAAGAGAACTCCTGAGGACATAAATGAATGATCTGCTATTGTCATCCTATCTATATTAGTATAATGTTGATTTACATTTGAGACATACACATCGAGCCTGACCTTCTGTTTAATAAAGACTTTAATTTATTTCAAAAAACTCTTTCAAAAAACTTCTCCTGACTTAATAAAGCTACTTCTTTCGATTTAAAAAAACAATCTTACATAGTTCAGCTATACTGTGGTATTCTATAGTATACTATAGTAACTGTAAATACTGGACTAAGACACATCAATTCAATGTATTGTTTATTTGTTTATTTGTATTTATTCTAAGGTTACTGTTCAAATAAATGTATTGACCTCCAAATAAATTACGTTTGGTGTAGAAAAGCCTTTAGTTGGTCAGAGGAGATTGATTTCTGGTCTTTTCTTTCTATCCTTCAGCTAAGTCTCAAGCCCAGTCTATATACATGCCCATTTGCTTACGATCAAACCACTGCTTGGTTCTCCTACAATGAGTAGCTCTCCAAGCCGACGAGGGCCATCTTTCTCCTCCTGTCCAATCCACAGGCTAGGAGGCTGAAACAATAAATGCTATCTGTAGTGCAGATGCTGCCTTTCATTTACAAGCTCCACAATCCGCTTATACCTGCAGCGGAGGCTTGCGGCCGCTCCCCCGGGAGTGGAAAATCCCTCACAGATGCACTTTTCAGTGCTGTTTGATTAGTCGGACCCAGCCAGCGCTCCATGCCCGCCAGGCCTGGACACTGTGTCAAGTGATTTGTCATGACAACCTGCCCTTCGCCCCAAACACACCTCTCTCTCCGTCTTCTCTCTCCGCTCCACTCCACACCGTCTGCAGTGCTCAGTCGCCAAAGTAATACAGGTGGTTATAGCCAGCTAGGTTTTTATCCCTCTCAGGCTGTGTTCATATACCAGGCTGAAATGGTACAAATCCGATTTTGTGCATTAATGTGGCACACATCTGAGCAGTGTGGGCACACAAGTCTGATCTTTTCAAATCAGGTCTGAGCTACTTCCATGTGTGGTGCTTGATCAGATACATGTATGGTTCATCTGATTTGTGGCCATGCAAAGTGAGAATGGTCAGATTGGAATTCACGTGTTTTTTATTCATGGCACACACACCATCATTCAGTGTTAATGTGGCAGCAGTGCCTAACCTGAAGTTAGTGCGTCTGACTCTTTTTCGCCTTCATCTTGCCCTAATAATGAATAGCTGAGAGCTATTCAGAGCAAATCATCTTCATGGTAAATTCTTGCACTGCTGGTTAGTTTGTTTGTTGTTCATGACAAACATGGTTCATTCATGTGACGTCATTGGTTAGGATGTGTGCATGCGGATCGTTTCAGGACATAGATTCGTTCACATTAATGACAGATTTGGTTCACCTACCTACACTGTTAGAAATAAAGATTGTGTGCAGGTACATTTTTTGTTTATAAGGTACTAACAATGTAAATGTTCCCATAAAGGTACAACAGTGGTTTTAAAGTCAAACTGTGTACCTTAAATAAGTTTTTCTCAGTGGAAAAGTATATATTTGTAGTTTTTTTCAGAACCTAATGTTTTAAAACAGAACGATAGAATAAGAGGTCTGGAGATGAGACGGGGTGTGTGGAGTCAATACAATGTCAATACAGATATAATTTTAATAGATTATGGTACAATTATGTTCCCTGACTAAAGGTCCTGAGATGTACCCTTGAGGGTCCCACCCCAGTGACAAGAGGGGTACTTCCCCAGTGACAGTTTCATAACTTTATTTCTGAGAGTGTACACGAATGTGAACCATCAAGCTGGAAAGATCAGATCTGAGCAATTGACCAATGAGGCTTGAAACGTAGACTTAGCCATAGGTTCTCAAAGAAAGTACAGATTCTAAATGTTCAGTTGAGACTTTGTTTTTTGTTTTTTTTTGTTTTTTTTTGGTAGAAAAGCAGATACACTGGTAGGTGCCCGTGCCTTGTTTCTCAGGGGTGGGGAACTCCAGTCCTGGAGGGCCAAATTTTTGCACAATTTGGTGATTTTCTTGCTCAAGCACACCTTATTAAACACATCAGTTAATTACCAGGCTTGGTTGGAGTGCAAGAGCAGGACAATCACCACACTGTGTTGTACTCCAACCCTCAGTTCCTTACCCCTGTTGCATCTACACTTGTTGGCCATTTTAACAGAAACACCTGCCATATACATAGGTGAACTCTGTAGATTTACAGTTACTGACTATTCCCTATCTGTTGCTACACAAGCTTCACCCTCCATCAATCGAAAGGGACGACCAAATGACCCCCACTAACTAGGGCTATAAAAATTTGAATGTCAGACAAGCCAATGTGACAAATATGGTTGCTTTGTAGTGTAGTAAGCCAACAGTCACGTAATATTTATCGGACAGTGATATAAGCAAGTTTAGTTGCTGCTACATGGCTACTGCAGACAGCCACTGCCAGTTACAGGCTGTTTTTACACTTTCACTGATACAGACACTCTGTTTTAGCATGTAATGACGACAAGATTTCGTTGGTGTGGGTTATTTAATGGGAAGGTGCTTTTAAAGAGGCCCATATACCTTTTTTCGACAACCATCTTGTGACCCCCAGTTTGAGAATCACTGGTTTCTAACAGTGTGAGCTTTTGGTGTTTACACAAACATTGTCAATCTACAATCTATTGCACATGCTATGAAGAAGTGCTTCAGTCTGTTGAACCTGGCCCTAGGGACTGCTACCTTCTGCCTAGCAGCTGAAATCTATCATAGAGAGGATGGGAGGGATTGCTAATGATCCTTACTTGTCCATCAAAAATGTCTGAAAGTAATCTTACTGGCAACAATAACAACTTTTCCTTTTTTTTCCCTTTTGTCAAATTGCCATACCAGGCTGTAAGACCAAAACAGACTAAGTAGCGCTATAAAAGAATGTCAGGAGTTTTTGTCAACATTAAAAACATTTAGCTGCCTTAAAAATACAATCTCTGAATGCATTTTACTGATTGCCTCCGGGTTGTTGTCAAAACTGATGTTCTTATCTGTCACAGTTCCCAAATAGAATAGAGGTTGACCAACACTTTGATAGTTGTGCATGGAAAAAAGATGAACAATAGTGTGCACATCTTCAAAATGTACCAACAAGGTGTTTCTAATATAGTGGGCAATAAAAGTACCACATGGCACTACTGTGTCAATGTCACTGAGAATGGTGAACTTTGTGGTCATTTTACATTAATGGATGGAGTAGAGGGTCTGACAAATTCTGCAGCAACAGATGGGCTGCAGTCAGCAATTGTACACCTACAAAGTGCACCTATAATGTAGGGCTTTCTGATATAATTGCTGATGAATGTAGGCACAAGGTATTGGTGTCTTAATAATATAATATAATAACATAATTTCAAAAGTATAAAAGTCACAAGTACAGACTTGAACCTTTTGATACAGAATGTAAATGTAACTTATGTATAATAAACATATAGCATTGTGTAATTAACATGTTAATTAAATGTACGTAATTACATTATGTAATTGATGTACATTAGTTTTTTAAATACTATAGCAAAATGTAACTCTAGACTCGTGTTAAATAAACAGCTTTCTGACACCAAAATTTTGACACTCATGACCTTTTTTTCTCCACTTAACGGCTGTTGTTCTGTATTTCACTGGTGTGACCCAAGTGTCACGTCTCTGCTAACAGCTGTTGTTTGTGTGTGCACATGTGAATGTGTCTGCATGTGTGAATGTGTGTTTTTGTGTTACAGAAGGCTGACCTGGCTGTAGCTGGCCTGACCATCACGGCCGAGAGGGAGAAGGTCATTGATTTCTCCAAGCCCTTCATGACTCTGGGGATTAGCATCATGTACCGTGTGCACTTGGTGAGGATAAGTCGCTGACTCTGCTACACAGATACTGCCCTCACCTCACACACCACTACCTCTACAGAGCTCTGCTGCCAGCCACATGGTCAGCAGCTTCTAAAAAGAGAGAGAGACAGTACCAGTCAACAGTTGGGACACACTTGATTGAATGCATGTTTTTCATACTCCTAAAGTGAAATTCACTGTAGAGAAACTTACTAAAGATATTTCTTTACAGTAGTGGTGAAAGGAACCAGGGGTCGTTATGTCTGCAACACAAATATAGACATTTTATCTACTGTCCAAAGTCCATCTCCACACTTTGTATATGTAGTGTTGATAACGGGAATGTATAGTGCAATCCATGACTCAGACACTTCAGGAGGTGGTTTGGGACACGTTAGAGATGCAGTTCAGTGTAAATCTGTTTTTTTTTAAGCTGCATATGTAGTATTGACTTCTCCCAAATGGAGCTACATTGTGAGAATTAAACTGCACACAACAGCATAAAGCTGCCTACAACAGCTCCTGTCGCCTCACACCATAAGTGTCATAAAAATGAAAGGTTTTTATGACTACAGGGTTTCTCCCTTTAGTTCTTATAAAACACATAACCGCATAGAACGACATTTCTGCCATGGCATCATCTCAGAAGATTCCAGAAGAGAGTTCTGCAGGAGAAGCATGAACTATGGGAATTCTGCAGCAAAGGCAAATTGAATTTGTATCTGTCTATCAGAGACGCGTTTATGTGGCCGTATGTAAATGGAATGTGGATAAATCTAAACATTATCCAGATATGAGATGCATGAAATGACAAGTGTTAATAGGTTTCTTGATCTAAAGGCTTGTGCTTAAATGTTTGCGTAAGTGAAGGGAAAGCCTATTTATGAAAATATTTCCAAAAATTAGTACATCGATCAGGCATAACATTATGACCACCTCCTTGTTTCTACGCTCATTGTCCATTTTATCAGCTCCACTTACTATATAGGTGCACTTTGTAGTTCTACAGTTACAGACTGTAGTCCATCTGTTTCTCTGCATACTTTGTTATCCCCCTTTTACCCTGTTCTTCAGTGGTCAGGACCCCCATGGACCCTCCCAGATCAGGTACTATTTGGGTGGTGGATCATTCTCAGCACTGCAGTAACACTGATGTGGTGGTGGTATGTTAGTGTGTTGTGCTGGTCTGAGTGGATCAGACACAGCAGTGCTGCTGGAGTTTTTAAACACCTCAGTGTCACTGCTGGACTGAGAATAGTCCACCAACCAAAAATATCCAGCCAACAGCGTCCTGTGGGCAGCGTCCTGTGACCACTGATGAAGGACTAGAGGATGACCAACAAAAACTGTGCAGCAACAGACAAGCTACTGTCTCTGACTTTACATCTACAAGATGGACTGACAAGGTAGGAGTGTCCAATAGAGTGGACAGTGAGTGGACACAGTGTTTAAAAACTCCAGCAGCACTGCTGTGTCCAATCCACTCAGACCAGCACAACACACACTAACATACCACCACCACATCAGTGTTGCTGCAGTGCTGAGAATGATCCACCACCCAAATAGTACCTACTCTGTGAGGGTCCATGGGGGTCCTGACCACTGAAGAACAGGGTAAAAGGGTTCTAACAAAGTATGCAGAGAAACAGATGGACTACAGTCTGTAACTGTAGAACTACAAAGTGCTCCTATATAGTAAGTGGAGCTGATAAAATGGACAATGAGCACAGAAACAAGGTGGTCATAATGTTATGCCTCATTGGTGTGTATATATATGTCATAGACAAAGCCTGTGTTATTTTGTAGTTTTGATGTTTTTACTTCTAAAATCTGGAAAATAGTAAAAATAAGAAAACATTCCGCGAGTAGGTGTGTCCACACTTTTGTCTGGTATTGCAGATGGAGACAGAGACAGATTAAGGGGATCCATACAGGGACAGGGATGTAGGGGTAACAGTAACAGAAAATATCATCACCACAGACTCTTTTATGCATAATTATTGTTTGTTGTGTATATATGTTCAAAATATGCAGTAGACATGCACTGGTAAAGTTTACTGCATTTTGAGGTGAAGTAAATCGCTTCCCTCCACAGTTGTTGGTCATTTTGGGGACATGTCACTGAAAGAAAAAAAGCAGGATTTGTTGGTTAGTTCTGTGCCCCAGTACGGCCTAATGTTGACTCAACTGCTTAAAATTTTCAGCCAACATAATTATCTCCCACTCCCATCCATGTTTTTGTCAACCACTGTAATAATCTCTCACTAGATATGTGTGTGTAGCTTGATGCAGTGGCGGGTCTCGAAAATACTACCAAGGGTGGCAAAGGGCTGGCAGGGAGTTTCAGCAGGGTGGCAATATCATTGTGTGAGTGGGGGTGGAGGGATGGCGGGGTGGAGTGGCTGATAAAGAGAGGTTGGACAATTGTTCTGCAGATCACCGATAGCGAACCCACTTTCCTCTTAACCCCTTAAAATCCCAGGCTTATTACATACTAAGTCTTATTATTCAGTAACTACAGGGGCTCCAATGCAAACTAGTTGAGCTATTCTTCGGTTATAGAAGTGTGTAATAAAACTTTGGGAATACCAGTGGGGCCCTGGCCATTCAAGGGGTAACACAAACAAATCAAATTTCAGGGACCACCCCTTTTAAACCTCACATGGCATAACACTAGAGAGCAGAGACCGTAGGGTGTCCATCAGTGGTTTCTGTGTTGGTTAAATCTCAGCATATCGATGCTGTCAGAACATTTACATTTTTTTTTGCGAATTTGAAAATGCCAGCTGTTCCTTACTTACATTCCTTACATTTAGCGCCAAATAGATTAATATAAATATTCTACAGAAATGGCTTAGAATAAATCTTGTTACTTTATTTTACATTAAAAAGGAACAGTGTTTTTTCTATTGCTTGTAAAATTGCTTTTTGAGAGAGAAAAGGTTTTGTTCTAACAGCGACAATATATGTATTGATGTCTTTTACCACAATCTAGCATGTTGCATTGCGATCTTTTTCAATTATTATCCAAAAATTATAGTATTTCGCATCACATCAAAGACCAGTGGCGAACCGTGACTATTAAAACTAGGCCTTCACTTTGGGCCGTACATGTCAAAACTCAAAACTTGATTAGGCTGCCACTCTTGTTCACAGTCAGAGACCCATCTGGGACTTCCAGAAAGCCTACAGTGACTTTTTTCTCATGTTATTAGTTGATTCCTCTGTCACTTTTTTGTAATTATGCTAAAAGCTCACCTTTGCATTAGGACTTCTCTTCAGCTGTTAAAGGAGAGCTCACTTGATTATAGCTGTCTTGATGCCACAGAGAAAAACAGTTCCTGATTTGCCAGTTTTCCGCTCTGTGTTTGCAGAATTGAATGCTTTTGTTTCCATCCAAACTTAACAATGAAACAGTAGTAATGTTGTAATACTTGCAGAGTTTAAATACAAATATGATTCTATTTAAAAATGAAAATGTATTTTTAGTTTTCAGAAATCATTCAGCCTTCTCTGAAAGCCTAGGAGGCCCTGAAGGTTCACCTCTGTGGTGTACATCATATACAGTATATATATACTGCTAAAGATTTCAACATCCACCACTTAAAACACCCCGGATCTGTAGGATCCTCTCGCTCTGGAGCAGATGGTGTGCCAGAGTGTGAAGCAGCTGATAAATGTGATGCTTTCCTTCCCAATCCCGCGCTCCCACTGATTGTGACTTCTATCTAATTCACACCAATAACACCCTGAGTTAAAGTACGCAGCGGCACTGGAAATCCAATAGCTCTTTTATTTTTTAAAGGCCTGCGCGCCATTAATCAAAGCCTTCCCCGAACCCAAGGTGACACACTGATCTCTGCATTGGCCACAGGCCGGATGGAGCTGCTTTGGCACGATCTGAGCAAACATTAATGTGGTGTCCCAGTAGGGTATTCACACACGCTTCCACACACACACATAAACACCGCAAACCTCCTTCCCCTGCTCACATCGCTAATAGGTGCGGCTGTTCTGTTTGGCCGAACAGTTGGAAGAATCGATAGCAGCAGGTGCGCTATTAGCCTAGATGCTGCAACACCTCTGTGAAAGCTTCTAGCATTCAAAACAGCACTCATCTGTATTCCTGCATGCTGATGCAAACAGGATACAAACACACATGTACACGTTTGTTTTCATAACCGGTCAGGACATGGGGACATATACATTATAACATTATACATATATATGAATCATACTTAGTGCTCATTCATCCAGTAAAGCAATTAACATCCTACCATGTTCTGTGGCATGTTTAAAAATGATGAGCAGGCCCAGTTGACAGTGAATTTGGATGGAGAAGGGAAGAGGAAAAGATCTAAGTGACTTTGAAAGAGCGTTTGTTATTAGAGCACGGATGACAGGAGCTTCAGTCACAAAGACTGCTCAACTGGCTAGTGTTTCAATAGGGACAGTGACTAAAGTGACATCTGCATTTAAGTCTTTGGGAAAGACATCAGTAAATAGAGTTGGGAATTACGGTCGAGTGCACATATTCAGTGACTGTGATGCAAAGAACAGAAGAGCAAGTGAGAATGTCGGTGCAGGACGTGATCGGACTGCGTCAGCAAGGACAGTCCATCCACAACTACTTAGAGAAGGATGTTATAGAGGGGCTTCAGTGCATAAACCTCTTATTACAAAGATGAGTGCACATTTGGGAGTTCAGCAGTATAAAGGTCATAGTCACTGCTCTACAGAGATGAGGAAACAATGATATGGTCAGAAGAGTCACCATATTCTCCACAAGTTGGCGAATGCATGTGGGGATGACACCTAGAGAACGATACAGGAAGGCTTGACCCTTACAGTGACGGGGTGGGGTGGCTCTGTCATGCTTTGGAGGCATTTTACTGGCATGAATTGGATCCACTTGTCCCCTTAGAAGAAAGGGTCACTTCAAATCAATACAGTCTGTAACCTAGTGACTGATCACTTTTATCCTGTGATGAAACATTTCTAGAAACATTTCA